CCAACAGTATATAACAAATTACAGCCTAATAATGACAGCTTAACCTTCTCTACATCGCCTCGTTCACACAATAAATCAACAATACAACTACAGATTATATAAGCATTTTAAATGCTCTCAGGTTTTCCACCAGGCCCAAGTTTAACTCTCTGAGGTCTGAGCCTTTTTTTCACACGTTAGGCTCGCCTGGGCTTTTTTTGTAAAAATGCTATTAAAACATGAACCTTGGTGACCATCGGGCTGGCCTGCATGGTCTGCCCCAACAGCAGCCTCTAATCATCAACAGACTTCATGCAATGCTTCATTGGATGCATATATCAGATAATAATCTCTATCTCACTCCTAACACATCTAAATCTACTTCCAGCATGGATAAATGTTCATGAAATACGTCCATTGTTTGTTTAATACGCTTCTTGAAATCCAAGAAAACACATAGTTTTTCTAGAACAGATTACAAATCGCCAGAAAATGTTACAAACAAGTGGCAACACGTGTGACGAAGGTGTTGCGCTGGGCTATATCATGCAATTCAAATTGAAACGTAAGCTCCCGCCATTGCGGAGATATTCCCGCGAGATTGCAGAGAATTTAAATTTATTTATTTATTTAAAATGTGAAATGTTACCCATATACTCATGGACCACTAGGGGGCGCTCACGGAACACCAGTGGTCCGCAGACCACACTTAGTGTAGTGTAACCTCAGTAGGTGAGTTTGTTTAGCAGTGTATCCTCAGTAGGTGAGTTTGTTTAGTAGTGTAACCTCTGTGGGTCCGTTTGTTTCAGGCCTCAGGGCAGCTCGGTGGCTCAGGTGGAGACAGTGCTGCAGCAGCTGGAGGAGGCTCATGTGCAGCTGGAGGAGCTCTTCCACCAGAGGAAGTTGCGCCTCGACGTCTTCCTGCAGCTGCGCATCCTGCAGCAGTGCACCCTGGAGGTATCCTCTAACACCTGCTCATAGCTAACACCTTAACCCCGCCCCTCCGGTGTCTAACTCTCCTCTCCTCCCCCCCCCCATGTGTCTCCCAGGTGACGGGGGAGATGGATGCCTGGAAACAGGACCTGCAGAAACAGGCGCAGGATTTCTCAGCTGAGAAGCTAGCGGCGCCGCGGCTAGCAGACGGTAACCCTGACAAGCTAGCTCTGAACCGCATGGTGGAGGCTAACCCAGAGGTGCTGACGCTAGCTCAGCAGCGCATACACAGGTAACCATGGTGACGTCATCATGACTCCTCCTTTTCCTCCTTTTCCTCTTCCTCCTCCTCCTGCTCTTCCTCTTCTTCCTCCTCCTCCTCTTCCTCCTCCTCCTCCTCCTCTTCCTCCTCCTCCTCACATTGTGTTTCTCTTCAGGCACATGGAGAGACGCCTGGCGATGAACAACATGATCTATGAGGTCATCCAGCAGAGTCACGACCTGCAGCAGTACATCAGCGAGGTGCAGGCCTCAGGTAATACTCCACAAATACTCCCTGTAATACTCACAGTACCTCCACAAGTACTACCTGTAATACTCACAGTACCTCCACAAGTACTACCTGTAATACTCACAGTACCTCCACAAGTACTACCTGTGATACTCACAGTACCTCCACAAGTACTACCTGTGATACTCACAGTACCTCCACAAATACTACCTGTGATACTCACAGTACCTCCACAAGTACTACCTGTGATACTCACAGTACCTCCACAAGTACTACCTGTGATACTCACAGTACCTCCACAAGTACTACCTGTGATACTCACAGTACCTCCACAAGTACTACCTGTAATACTCACAGTACCTCCACAAGTACTACCTGTGATACTCACAGTACCTCCACAAGTACTACCTGTGATACTCACAGTACCTCCACAAATACTCCCTGTGATACTCACAGTACCTCCACAAATACTCCCTGTGATACTCACAGTACCTCCACAAGTACTACCTGTGATACTCACAGTACCTCCACAAGTACTACCTGTAATACTCACAGTACCTCCACAAGTACTACCTGTGATACTCACAGTACCTCCACAAGTACTACCTGTGATACTCACAGTACCTCCACAAGTACTACCTGTAATACTCACAGTACCTCCACAAGTACTACCTGTAATACTCACAGTACCTCCACAAGTACTACCTGTGATACTCACAGTACCTCCACAAATACTACCTTTGATACTCACAGTACCTCCACAAATACTACCTGTGATACTCACAGTACCTCCACAAGTACTACCTGTGATACTCACAGTACCTCCACAAGTACTACCTTTGATACTCACAGTACCTCCACAAATACTACCTGTAATACTCACAGTACCTCCACAAATACTACCTGTGATACTCACAGTACCTCCACAAGTACTA